CGACCGGCCTTATACTAGGTTACAGGGGGGAAAGGGATTGTCAGTAATGAGGTCTAATATCCCCATTGCCAGCAATATACCCTCAGGTCGACCTCCACGCGGTTTCCCCTGGAAACCATCATGGTTAATTCTTGTCCAATTTATCATGGTGAGCGAACTGACCTGCATTTATTCTCACCAATCATTTTCCACTGGTACCTCGTCTGATTATCCCGTTAGCGCAGTATACCATTCCATTTTCACCCATCAAAAAAACCCTTCTTTTCCCGTGGGTGTCGTAAGAGGCAACTAAGCGAACTTAATGGTCGAGAAATGCTAACTGCAGTTGTCAACCCGCCTGCCAAGCGTTAACTACTGGCAAACCCCCCCTTTAAAGGGAGGCCTATGTTCAGCAGCGGATAGCTAACAGCTAATATTATGATGATGATTATCATCATCATCATGTTAATTAAGTAATGATTAAAGTTTTGTTTTGATGGGTGAAAATGGTATGGTAGCGCCCCGCCTGCGCTAACGGGATACGCTGACGGAGCACCAGTGAAGGGTGATAGATGAGAATGAAAACAGGCCAGTTAGCCCATTATGATGAATTCATCAGGAATTAACCATGATAGTTTCCAGGGGGAACCGCGAGGAGGTCGACCTGTTTGGGTATATTGCTAGCAATGGGATTTTCATCCTCCATTACTAACAATCCCTTTCCCCCCTAATGATTAAAGTTGCGATGTTATAATATATAGGGAGAATGTTTTTAGTATTAAGTACGCCTTGTACACATATATGTACTAATGAATAAATAAATAAAAATCTAGAATGTTATTTAAAAAAACAATAACAATAACCTACAATTCTTTTCTCTAAAAGGATGACTAATTCGAAATAAACAATTGTAGTTTCAACTCGAATATTTTACTCAAATGATCAGTGAATGAGTGTCCTTGCCTGAGTGTAACTACGATTATAGAGTTTATTCTACCTTGCACCCAAGTTATTTGCTCCCAATCTTTATAATTTTATTATTAATATTATAAATGACCTCCATGCCGAAGTTTTACCTTGAGATTGCAGTATGGGATTCTTCAAAAAGGATACATTAAGCTTTCTTCAGGGTCAGCAACGCGCACGTGTTAACCCTAGTGCTTAAGGCATCCATAGCCCACAGTGACCGTTTACTATCAAACGTAACTTCTAAATTTGATTGAAATACAGTACAGTATTGTACAGAGGAATAACGTCTGAGTCCTCAGGAATGGCAACGCATGGGGGGTATCATGGGCGAAACAGTATACTCTGTTATGTCCATGATAATGCTCATGCCTATAGGCGACGGCGACCACTTTCCATCAGGTGGGCCATCAGCTTGTTTGCCATTCTAAGTTGTATAACAAAAATATATTATATATTTATTTCATAAAATTGCTAGCCTCCACAGGCATAGGAATTATATAAAATCAATCAATATCGACGGACGGCTGGAATGATGATCATGAATCAATATCGAACCTCGAAGCCTATTACATTACGCTTGTTACAATTTATAACGCATAAATCTAGAAACGATGTTCAGTTAGTAATCTATTTTTAAACGCATTACAAATGTGATCGTTTAGAAAAAAAAAACCCCGAGGCGGTAATTTCAAAGTGGGCTGAATGTCAGTAGGTCATAGTGCAGTGCAACAATATTGCAAAGTGGAATGTAGTATTATTAGATAGCATAATACATGTAAATTATGTAGGCAGATGTATGAATTCTTAATGTTTGACTCACTGCCAGTATGGGTAGATGAAATTGATTGCAATTTTACCTTCAGACTGTATGATAATTTTAATTATCCTATTGTATTAGATAGGTGTGCAAAACAGATAGCTAATGAAATGTTAATTACTCAACAATCATATATACATATATATATATATATATATATATATATATATATATATATATATATCTCTTTGGGGACTTGTGCCAGTAGTTGTCACGCTTGGCAGACGGACTGGCAACCGTAGTTACGCTTTAGAGATGTTTTAAGAGGGATACTGCTGCCCATCACGCAAAAAGACTCCGAGCATAGCCCTCTCTTTGCGTGATAGAATCTGAAACAAAGATATCCACATAAGAAACAAAGTAACCAACATAGCCCGAAGGATAAGCAAGCTGAAGTGGCAATAGGCTGACCACATAGCTGGGGGGGAAGGGATTGTTAGCAATAGAGTTTGACAGCCCCATTGCTAGCAATATGCCTATATATATATATATATATATATATAGCATATATATATATATATATATATATGCTATATATATCAGGTCAACCTCCACGTGGTTCCCCCTGGAAACCATCGTGAACAATTCTCGTTGAATTCGTCATGATAGGCTAACTGACCTGTTTCATCCTCGTCTATCATCCTTGACTGATGCCCTATCAGCGTATACCGATAGCGCGGGTGAGGTTACTATTTCATCATCACCTATAAAAAAAAAGACCACATACCTCAAAGAATCGACAACCGATGGGAAAGAAAGGTTCTTGAGTGACGAACCCGTATAAGCAAACGCAATGTAGGACGACTCGACGACCTGAAATGCATTGCAGGTGGCTCAAGGCCGTTTCTTGTGGTCATCTATGGTGGAGACTTATGGACAGCTAGACCAGCAGTGGACGGATAATGGCTATTTTAAAATAGTTTATTTATTTATTTTATACATTTTTTTCTCATTTGGCCAAGTACATTAACATTGTCTGCTACTTGTTTTATAACAACTATCATAGTTTCAGTTAGTTAATTTTCCCGTGTGGTCCCGGCATAGAATAGGCCACCTCTTTTCTTTCTGTGGGTGTCGTAAGATGCGACTAAGGGGTGGGCAGTAGCATTCGTCTCTAAACATCTCCAAAGCCTGTGATTGCCACTCCGGCTGCCAGGGGGAAGTGTTTGTTAATAATGGAGACTAAGGACCCCATTGCTAGCAATATACCCAAACAGGTCGACCTCCACGTGATCCTCTCTGGAAAACCATCGTGCTGAATTCCAAGTGTATTCAACACGACGGACTAACTGACCTGTCTTTTTATTCTCACCTATCATCACTCACTGGCGCCTCGCCAGCGTATACTGATAGCACAGACATACTATTCCATCATCACCCATTAAAAAAAAATCCGCCTACCAAACGTGGGAACTACTGGCAAAACCAAAGGGGGAGACTTATGTTCAGCAGTGGACAGTTAAAAAATGATATGATGATGATGATGATGATCATAGTTTTAGGAATAAGTAACAAAATACACAACAGAATTTAATATACTTTATATAGATAGATAGATAATTTATTTGCATCACTTACAGCACACAAACAGCAAAAGGTACAAAAGCAAAGTGAAAAAGATAAAAAAAAGATACATGTTCAAAAGATTAAAAAAAAATCAAAAACAAAATCAGAAGGCAAAAAAATTAGTAAAAAAATTTATATATAGATAACATTGATCTATAAACATCTAGAAAAAAAAAAACAAATCAATCGTTACAGTATTTAGAATTTATTAAAAAGAAATAACAGTACTAATACAATCAGAAATATAACAAAAAAATAACAATTTCAACATTACTTAATATTAATTTGGTTAACGTATTACATATCTTAGACTAGCCATTTGGTCACGCTCGTATCGATTCGACATGGAGCGTATAGACAATTTCAAATCGTGATGACACAATTAAATAAGGCCCTACTTACAGTTCGCAACTAAATACATATGTAGTTTGCAATTTTATATATAACAGAGGGAAACTTTGTACAAAAGTCGATTGCTTGTGTACCTCTGTCCCATTCGTGTTTCAACCGTGAAGCAGTTGTGTTTGCATGGCTGTGTTTCGGTTTGAAGGATGAGATATGGCGTGAATTTACTGGGTACAGAGGAATAACATCTGAGTCCTCAGGAATGGCAACGCATGGGGGGTATCATGGGCGAAACAGTATACTTTGTTATGTCCATGGTACTGCTTATGTCTATAGGCGACGGTTATCACTTTCCATCAGGTGGACCGTTAGCTTGTATGCCATTCTAAGTTGTTTAAAAAAAATACTATTATATACACAAGCTGACGCGGTAACGTTGTTTTATCCCCTATCACCACTTACCAGGGTTGTTTTTACTTATCAGAACATCTTATCTCTCCAGTTGTATTAAATAATACATATTTACTTTCATTAAAATTCATTTGATACATCCATTGAGATTTCCACGAATGAAGATTATGACAGAGAATTTTTGCAAGTGTATATTAAGATTTTTTATTATCAACTATAGCGAAAGGATACCCATATTAATTTTAAACTATGTTCATGTTAACAATGTTTTTTTATAACACATCGAGCAAATAAGCATGCGGCTCACCTGATGATAAATTATTACAGCCGCCCAATGTATTATCTAATGTATTCGAATATAAGATTTGATTATTTAGGTTACAAAAGTGTTTAAAAAGTAATAACATAATAATCAAATAATCATCGTCATCATTATGCCAGTCGTTATCTGAACATAACTAATTAACAAATGATATTTCAATCTACAATCTATTTAAAAATAGTAAATACATTATACAAAGGATCTAATATACCAGAAAACGAAATAAATGGAGACGTGATAAACATGCAATGATGAAGTCCATAAAATATTACTTAATCATTAAGATGAGCTTTAGGGCAAATCATTATTGGTTGATTATCATATTATTTGATCTACAATAATTTAATTTTTATTGTTCATTATCAAAATATTATCTCCTTGCGAAGGATTTTTACGAAATTTTATTACAGTTTGTAACTTTTTTATGTTATAAACAAATATTTATTATGTCCTAAAGGTATTGAGTGTATTAGTATTGTTATATAGGTGCTCAATGCTTAAATAGGTATATGTATGTATACATTATAATAAATATAGTAAAACACAATACGTTTATAATAAGTTATAATATTTATAATAGTAAGAGACAGTAGACAGCTCGCGTTCATTGACGAAAAATTTCATTGTTACAGTCGTCGAAATGAGGATGTTCCAAGTTTTCTATACATATTCGCCAAGCCCATTGAAGTATGCTTCAAGCAGACCTCTTTCTCTTCCTCTACAATCATCGATCTATTCATACACTCTCACTGGTTATGGGTACTTTTAATTTGACGTCACGTCGCCTATTTAGCCGACATACAAATCCAAGTTTTATATTCACCACAATTTTGATAATTAAAGTCTGACTATCATCTATAGATGAAATACTCATGATATGGATTTACTACTTGATTAAACTGAATTTGTTTTGATGATATATATTTTGTAACCAGAATATCGACTGCTTTAAACTATAGCATGCATAAATATGTATTTTACTGACAAAAAGTGTTGCTCACAATTTTGTCGCATAGTATAAGGAGGGCCTTATTTTTATTAAATGTTACCGTTCATAACTTATTAATATTTGATTCTAATAATATCCACTAATAATGGGAATGGTTACTGTTGAGGGAACAACGTTGTAATTCTGTTGGGAGTTACTTTGTTGATAGCCATTTTGTTGGACTCCACTTTGTTTATGAACATTTTGCCTGATACCGCTTTGTTGATAACCTATTTGTTGGTTACCACCTTGCTGATGACCACTTTGTTGATAACTGTTTTGTTGGTTACCGCCTTGTTGGTAACCACTTTGTCGATAAACATTTTGTTGGTTATCGCCCTGCTGGTAACCACTTTGTCGATAAACATTTTGTTGGTTATCGCCCTGCTGGTAACCGCTTAATTGATAAACATTTTGCTGATTACTGCTTTGCTGATAACTATTTTGTTGTTTAGCGGTTTGTTGGCGACCGCTTTGTTGGTAAGTATTTTGCTGGTAACCACCTTGTTGATAACCATTTTGCTGTTGTGTACTTGGCTGATAACCAATCTGTTGGTTACTTGTTTCGGATTGCTGCTGATAATTTTTGTATGAACCTGAAATAAATTATAATGAAAATGTACATTCTATATTAATTTCACTGTACGAAGTAATTCACTTTGATATTTTAATGTACAATAATTAAAGATTGTTTCCCATAAAAAAAAAACAAAACTATATCATTTTTGACAAAACCAGTTATTTTGATTAAAAAAAATTTAACTACGGAACCGACTGTAATAAAAGTTCTATAGAATCAATCTATAAATACTTTCAGACGAAAAAGAAAAAGAATTCTCCAAATCGCTTTAGAACTGACAGAGGTATGAGATAACAAACATAAAAAAAATACAATGGAATGCAGTCGTTCATTTTGTTTGTTTGTAACACCTTATTGTACAGTAGTATCTTAATTATAGGATACAAAGTTCTTAAGAAAATAATAGTAAAAAAGAAAAGAATGTACAATGGTGGACCTATGAAAAAAAAAGCATTTCTCCCTACCTTCAATTATCTAATAGGCATTGTAAATTATGTAACTAGAGCATAATGTAAAAAAAGAACTGGCAACCCCCTCCCCTCCTCCTCCTTATGGGGGAGGCTGACGTTTAGCACTGGACAGTTTACGGCTGATGTGATATGGTATGGTGAAAAAAAAAAACTTACCATCGTCAAAAATGCCATTAACTTCATCATAGGTGTTTTGTTCTATGGCCCTAGCAATGGCTTCAGGTATGGGTGGTGGGGTGGGCAGGTGGGCACCTTCCGGCCTGAACCCGTTCTCATCAGCTGTATAGGTGACGGAGTAGACCTGACCATCGGTGCCCCGATAGGAGTAAGCACCACGAGCCTGGGTGCCTTTGTCTATTTGTCCAACTTCTTGGGCTTGGATACCTGAATGAAGTCGGGGGGAAAAGATTGTTAATAATGGCGTTCTAATTGCTCTACTGTTATTATACCCTGGGTCGACCTCCACGTGGTTCCTGCTGGAAACTGTCGTGGTTAATTCTTGTGGAATTCGTCATGATGGGCCTACTGACATGCTTTCAATCTCACCTATCATGCCTTACTGGTGCCTCGCCAGCGTGTACCGATAGAGCAGGCAGAGGTTACCATTCCATTATCGCCCATTGAAAAGAACACAAATATTTTTTTTATGCAACTTATAATGGCAAACAAGCTGATGGCCCACCTGATGGAAAGTGGTAACCGTCGCCTATAGACATGAGCAGTACCATGGACATAACAGAGTATACTGTTTCGCCCATGATACCCGCCATGTGTTGCCATTTCTGAGGACTCAGATGTTATTCCTCTGTACCCTGTAAATTCACGCCATATCCCACCCTTCAAACCGAAACACAGCCATGCAAACACAACTGCTTCACGGTTGAAACACGAATGGCACAGACGTACCCAAGCAATCAACTTTTATACAAAGTCTCCCTCTGGTGAGTACTTGCTGGGCACCAAACAATTCTGGTGTGCCTCTTAAAATATGCAAATGTGCCTATACATAGAAGGTTTTCATGAAATGAAATTCAAACCAAGATGCATACACTACCCATATACAGTACCATGGATGTAACAGAGTATACTGTTTCGCCCTTGATACACCTCATGCGTTATCATACCTGAGGACTTAGGCATCCATAAAAATTTTAAATACTTTTACATATTGTTAGCCCACACATATTGCAATGGAAATAAATGAAAAAAATATTTATAATTTCTTCTCTAGGGGGTCAAAAACAACGAATACAACGCGGTTTCAGAGATGTTTTCTCCCACGAACACTCAGGTTATTGAATGAGCTCCCTGCCGAGGTTTTCCCAAGAGACTGCAGCATGGGGTTCTTCAAAAGGGGGGTAAAGAGGTTTCTTCAGGGTCGGCAACGCGCGCGTAATACTCCTGGTATTGCAGGCGTTCATAGGCTACGGTAACCGCTTACCATCAGGTGGGCCGTATGCAACATACAAATACATGAATAGATAGATGAATGTTTGTTACTACAATATTTTAATTTAAAAACCAAACTACCAAACTGATTTTAATAAATTGTTTATAAGACTAATTAGTAAGTACATTTTTTCAGTTAAAAAAAAAATCCAAATCGGTTTACAGCTGATGAAATTATAAGCTAACAGAAAAATACAGACTCCTCCTTTTTGAAGTCGGTTAAGAATTATTCAAAAACAAAACTCACCGTTCTCTGTCTCATAAGCATATTGGTAGCTATGGCCGTGATTCTCCGAGTTGTAACTCAGCACCCTCGCACTGCCTTCTGCTGACTGAGTCCTTTGATGCTCAGGTTGGACTTGGACATACACGTCCTGTGCTTTTGTGAACCCTTGAGGTTGGGAGTACAAAGCTTGCTGTTGATATTGCTGCGTCTGATAGGCCACTGGTGATGTGGCCTGTGGCTGTTGATAAACTTGGATCGCACTGGTGAAGCCAGTGATGGCTAAAGCGATGATTGCAGTGATCTGTAAAAATGATGAAATATTATGAAAAAGCATTTCCAATTATTGATGGTCGCGTACAACGCAGTTTCAGAGATTTGGAATTCTTTTTGAAAAATTTCAGGTTATGGAATAACTTCCTATCAAGGCTTTTCCAAGAGACTACAGCATGGGGTTCTTCAAAAGGGGGTAAAGAGGTTTCTTCAGGGTCAGCAACGCGCGCTTTAAGTATCATAAAAAAGGTCTGATAAAAGTAAAAAATTTAATAGTGACATCGCTTGCACTATTTATTTGTTTATTTATATTACTGTAATATTTATTTCACCAGAGGGAGACTTTGTACAAAAGTTGTTTGCTTGAGTAACTCTATCCCATTCGTGTTTCAACCGTGAAGCAGTTATGTTTGCATGGCTATGTTTCAATTTGAAGGGGATATGGCAGTGAATTTACAGGGTATAGAGGAATAACACAGTCCTCAGAAATGTCAACGCATGGGTGGTATCATAGGCGAGACAGTATACTCTATTATGTCCATGGTACTGCTCATATCTATAGTCGACTATAGGTATGAACATAGACATCATAGAATACACCGTTACTCCCCTCTTGGGTTGCCATTCCTGAAAACCATCGCGATATGACCCCGTATCCTGTAATTTCATTGCCATATCCTATCCTTCAAACTGAAACACAGCCATGCAAGAATAGTTGCTGCACAGAAATACGTATGGGACAGAGGTACCCAACATATCAGCCGTTAACTGCCCACTGCTGAACAAAAACCTTCCCCAAAAGTGGAGTTTTATCAGTAATTTCCACGCTCGACGGGTAGGTTGGCAACCGCAGTTAGGCTTTTAGTGATGTTTTAGGAGAACGCTGCTGCCCATTCCTCGATCATTAAGTTCCCTTAGTCGCCTGTTATGCCACCCGTGGGAAAGGAAGGGGTGACCCATTCTATGCCAGGACCTATACAGCGTCCCATGCAAATAACTTATATGTAAAGTCTCCCTCTGATAACTTCAATTAACTACTATAAAACTACGTAAAATTAACACAATCAAACACTATTTGCAACAAAAAAAAAAGAATCATAAAACGTTAATGTTTAAACTAACGATTTTTTCATTCGTACTCCACTATTCACTTATGTATATCGTATATAATAACTTCACTGACTTTTAAAGCAGTTAAAATTTAATTAACACGTACCAGTTTCATTTTGACACCGTAATCCACAACACTGGATGAGTTAAGAATGATAATAAAAAAATTCACTATTACGTTTTTATACTCCAAATGTCTTATACGCACTACTGAATCGAGTCACAAATCTTCACGCTTGCGGCTACTGTAACTGTGGACTTGAGAATTCAGAATAATTTAAATTTGACACTCACTTCAAAAAGTGGTAAATTATCAATTCGACTGTATATATTTTATTTAATTATTGTATATTAAGTGGTAATTTTTAAATGATTTTATATTATTTTTTTAATCTAAAAAGTAATTTATCCATGTTCAGATAAATTTTTTTGTGAAACAAGAAGTGAAGAAATTATATATATTACAAAATTGAGGTAACAAAAGATATGATATGAAAATGTACGAGTAACTTTCACAGGATCTCGTTAACTAAATATTTCATATACTTTTAGATGTTATTAGGACGAAAAAAATTAGATTTCATTTAATAAGTAATATTGTAGGTTTATTCAATATCCAATGTGTAGTAATAGATAGGTAATAAATTAATAACATGTTATTATTCAACAAAAGAATTTTTATCAAAAAGATTTTGACATTTTAATTATTTAAATAAATTAATCTCATACGATATTTAAGAAATTTGCCATGCTATTTGCTATTTATTATTTTTACTGTAATTAGAACAAATGTTGTCTCTGTGAGGTCCTCCATCCACGTACATAAATAATTTATAAATTTTTTACTCCTTCACATTTTACACGCTATTAAAACAATATGGCTAAATATGTGATTCTATACTGCTAATTAAGATTTATTTCTACGATGTTTATGCAAATAAATTATTATTATTAAATTAAAATTAAAATCATCTTTATTCAAATAGACTTATTTACAAGCACTTTTAAATCGTTATTTTTCTTTTATCTACCGCAGAGTTGTGGAAGGTGGTAACTGTTGAGAAGAGCCCGCAAGAAACTCAACAGTTACTCTTTAAAATTTATGTTATATTATGTGTATTTATTTAAGTTCAAAATATCCTTCGATCCAAAATATTCTTCAGTATCTTATTTTATAATTAACTATTATTAGTTAATGCCCATTCTCATAAAATAACTTATTAACTTTTTCTAAACAATTACCTATTAATTTTAATAATAACATTAAACGACATAAAAAACTGAACAATATTTTCGTTATTTGTATGTAAGTCATAAATTTAATAAATAATCATTAAAATTATTATAATGAGTATAATTTGTATTGACTCCATAGTTTTTGTTGGCACAGTGCAGAAGTGTGATACGAAGTGCGAGAGAATTGTTAGGTAATGTTAGATAATAAGATGTGTCTGTTGACTGAGCAACTGGAGCGACATCTGGGTGGACTTTTCCGAACTGCCGACGTTAGGGGACGGCAATATGGTCACATAGGCAACTTGGCTGAATGCATAAGTGATTTTCTTATATCACGAATGAGGCAAACAATCATACAGCCTGTCTGATGGTAAACGGTTACTGTAGCATATGTATAATTTTTAATTTTTTTATATTATAATTTTAGAAATTTATGATTAATTTTAGTTCCAATGCATGATAATAAAGCCTTATGGTCCCGGCATAGAATAGGCCACCTCTTCCTTTCCCGTGGATGTTGTAAGAGGCAGCTAAGGGAGGGCGAATGATGGGCAACAGTCATCATCATCATCATTTCAGCCATTATCCGTCCACTGCTGGACATAAGCCTCCCCATAGACTGCCATAAAGAACGGTCCTGAACTACCTGCATCCACTGACTCACAGCAATACATTTCAGGTCATCACTCCATCTAGTGGCGGGTCGTCTTACACTGCGTTTTTTTTTTTGTTTATACAGCTTAGATTTGCAAACAAGCTGACGGTCCACCTGATGGAAAGTGGTAACTGTCGCCTATAGACATGAGCAATACCATGGATTTAACAGAGTATACTGTTTCGCCCATGATACCCCCCATGCGTTGCCATTCCTGAGTACTCAAGTGTTATTCCTCTGTACCCAGTAAATTCACGCCATATCCCACGCTTCAAACCGAAACACAGCCATGCAAACACTGCTTCACGGTTGAAACACGAATGGGACAGAGGTACCTAAGCAATCGACTTTTGTACGAAATCTCCCTTTGGTAAATGAGGTACCAATGAGGGATGATAGGTAAGGACAAAAGTTGACCTATCCCGACGAAGACACTAGCAGATAGCCCCATAGTTGGGGAGAAAGGATTTGTTGATGATAGGGCTCGCAGCTCCATTGCTAGTAATATACTCCGTCAGGTTGACCTCGACGCGGTTCCTCATGGAAACCATGGTGATTAATTCTTATTAAATTAATCACAATGGATTAACTGATCTGCTTTCATGCTCACCTGTCATCTCTTACTGGTAACCAGCCTGCCGTTAGCGTAGGTGGGATAACTATTTCATTATCATCCCATAAGAATATCCACCATAATCTTCAGAGGGACCTAGTTGTCCAGCCCATTGCCACTTCAGCTTGCCTATCCTCCTTCTTGTTGGTATATGTCCATATCGGAGTTTAAAATAAGTTACATTGTATTTACCTTTTAAAATTTTGTAACCATATCCAAAAATCACATACTATGTAGAAATAACCGTAATATTGACAGTATTATGTACAAATAATACATTGCAACGTACTATAATGTACTATTCTTACCGTAAACTCTCTGTTTTCGTTTCCTACTTGTTTCGGATCACTTTAATACAAACAGTACAATTGCTTGCAATAAAAGTGACAACCGTATAAAAAAAAATATATCATCAATCATGGAATATATCATTCCATTCTCATTATTTAGCTATCATTAAAATTATTTTGAAAAGTATAGAAATAAAATATATGAAAAATGTATTAAAGAATAAAATTGGATGCAAAAATTATGAGCAACTTTTTATAGTTCGCTGTTTTTTTTAATGGGTGATAATGAAATGGTAACCCCACCCGCGCTATCGGTATACACCGGCGGGGCACCAGTGAAGGATGATAGGTGAGGATGAAGCAGGTCAGTTAGCCCATCGTGACGAATTCAACAAAAATTGTTCACGATGGTTTCCAGGGGGAACCACGTGAAAGTCGACCTGATAGGGCATATTGCTAGCAATGGGGCTATCAAACTCCATTACTAACAATCCCTTTCCCCCCTATAGTTCTGTTCTACAGTCGATTAATAATTCTTTAGTGCAGTTTACTAGGCTTATTAATAATATGGTTTGGTAGTTAGGTCTTTTCTAGTTGTATAATTGTTACTTAGTGTGCATTAACGCTTATCTATGAGAGCTGTATACACCTTTAATTGATGTGTTCATATAGCCTTAAGCTTGGTAGTGAGGAGTGAGATGTTTTTGTTCAAGTAAACTTAGATTTAAGCATTTTTGAATTGTAGTTTTTCTCTTTTACTTATAACATTGTGCATTGTCTGCTTAATTGTTGTGAGCATATTGTTAATGTGTCTTTTATAAATAAATAAATATAGTTCGCTGTTAGAATACGTTTTCTTGCACTGTAGTGTACAAGCTGTGACTGTAATGAAATATCCATTGTTTTGTACACGACCCGCAATAGATAATATTTGTATCATAACACGTAAGATTATTATTAGGAAATTACTGAAAATCAGTCGGTTTCAATTTCAAAATCCTTACTTCTTTACTAATATTATAAATATAAAAAGTGAATTTTTATCTTTATCCGAGCAGTAGGTGCTTTATATTATTCTTAATTTCGTGTAAAATATAGTATATATCATATATGTGTAAGTATATTTGTTATTTATATATATTTATTCGTTTATATATGTAATTTTAGTATGTATGTATATCAATAATTACTAGTACCGCATTCGAGTATTCTGACACTTCCCTATGGTTGACTGGGAGAGAATGCTTTCAGCATTAAGTCCGCCATGTACACATATTTGTACTAATGCATAAAATTTGTCAGTTTGTTAATTCTTAGCATCTTAACGGCTTCATCGATTTGATGAAGGGCATAGGCTACATACAATTTAAAATGGAGAAGTACGGAAGCTCTTTTTGGCCCGAGCAATCAATAGAAATTGTTCAGTTATACAGGCAAAGGTGCAAATGAAAACGCATATCCTAACAGGATCTGGAGATTACAGTATTGGAGTCTTTAAAAAGGACATATCACAGTTTCTGTACGTGACCCCCTAGTGGCAACACTAGGAGGGTCACGTGTCTATGGTACGTACAGAGTGATTCCTGATGGTGCCTACAGACGCTTGCAAAGGTGTCCAAAAGCTACAGTGACTCTTTACCATCCGACGCTGTATGTTTATTTTTTTTAAACGCAGGGGGAAACAAGCATTTTTTCGAGGTCATTGAACATATCCCAAATACGCGGACAAAGTCGCGGGTTAAAGGATGTAAATAATAAATATCATCATCATCATCATCATATCAGCCGTGAACTATATACTGATGAACATAAAACTCCCCATAAAATACCATAAGTAACGGTCCCATGTCACCTACATCCACTGACTCCCTGAAATGCATTTGAGGTCGTCGCTCCATCTAGTAGCGCATCGTGCTATACTGCGTTTGCCTGTACGAGATGGTCCATCAAGAATTCTTCTTTCCCATGGGTGGCCAGGTCTTCTAGCTGCGTGACCAGCCCATTGTCATTTCGACTTGCTTATTCTTTGAGATATATCGATCACTTTGATTCTTCTACGGTTATCCTTATTTTGGATTCTGTCACGCAAAAAAAAAACTCCAGGCAATAAATAGTAAATATGGCATTTTTACTTATCATGATCGAGGGCTGGGTCGCAGTGTTCCTCTTAAAACATCACAACCAAGCCTAACTTCGGACGCCAAACCGCCTGACAAACGTGGCAACTGTTGGCAAAGTCCCCCTTGTGGAGAGGCCTATGTTTGGCAGTAAACAATTAACGGGAAAGGAAGGGGAGAGGTGGCTCATACAATGCCGGGACCATACAGCGACATACTAAAGATAAAAAGAATTATTCTTTCAATTTACAAAGATCTATTACGTACAGAACCCTCGATACTTAACTCGGCTCACACTAGCCAACGTTAATGTCCTTGATCCCGAAAAGTGCAAACATATTTAAAAATAAATCAAGTATAACTGGTTAGTGACATCTAGAGCATTTTATCCAATTAAATTCTACAAAAACAGGTTAAGAACTCATCAGACAATTATGAATTGGGTTCTGTAGCTATATTAAGTTTTTATTTTGGTTAATCAACCAAGTTTGTAAGTATAAAAATTATTATTATATTTTTAGCAAATTAAAGTAGGTATTTAATTACGTGTTTGTATGTTCAAATATTTATTTTGTTAATACATACATACATACATATCTGTCACGCCTGTCTCCCATTAGGGTAGGCAGGAACAATATAATTATATATATAAATATATATATATATATATATATATATATATATATATATATATATATATATATATATACTGCTACCCATCCCTTACCGTAAGCTCTTACGACACCCGCTAATTAAGTTTATTTCAATAAAAATATTTTTTATTTAGTTATTCATTTTTGTAGGCCTATGATCAGGAGTGGACCAATCATCATCAGATTCATTTAAAAAAAAACAGTTGAAGCAGCTGGCATAGTATATCAGTGATATTTGTAAGGCTTTGTCCACGGAACCCTAAAAATATTGTACCTATTACACCGGTATCAAGTGCAGGCGCTGGCCAATGTCATAGCATGGCGAGGAATATAACGACCGTATTAACATAGAATTAAAGTTGGAATTTGATTACCATCACAAACGCATATCGAGATCAGAGTTATTATCAACTGTAGCCATCATGATGGATGGTAAACAATCGATTTCCTCTGAGGATATTCGAATTAAATCGAATCGCATCGGAGTATCGAATTAACGATTACAAGTCGTGGACAAACAACTGCTATGCCTTATAGTTTGTAAACGACTCCTATAAGGAGGATTTTCTTAATTCCACTGTATTTTTTATTGTACAAATTTTTCACAATATTTAAACCGAAGCCCCAGGGGTGTCCTTCTCTAGAAATCTGTCTGATTCTAGAATAGCCCTTATTATACGGGTATGCGACCCCGGCCTCCCGAGCCGCTGCAATGTCCCAGTCCTTTTCGCTACTACAGTGTCCCCCCTTTCCTTTCCCACATAAGTCCCTTATTCCTCTTATTTACCAATTTCCTTCACGCATTTGCAACGTTCCCTTCCTTTTATTTCTCAATCCTTCCCTTTATACCGTTGGTGGCGGAAACCACCAACAAATGCATTCCCAAAGAGGGTTGACATCAGGCAGGCGGCTGTTCGTAAAACTTAACCAAATCTTTTTATAATATGGGCTAATAGTAAGATTTAAACCAAATTTGAAAATATATTTTTACAACCACTAAGGTTTGTTCCTGTGTTGATTCTATAATATATTTGTTTTGTAATAATTGAAACTGCATTTTTTCTTTGAGGTGTAAAAAGAACAGTGGTAGATCAAAATGTACTTACAGTCACAAGATTTAAAATGAAAATATTTATTTATTTATAGGATTACCAACATAAGATACAGCTAAACATTTCAATACAATACACTGGTACATTAGATCTAACTGTTCTTACATTTATAGGCGACCACAGAATGCCTTGTGTTTGATAAACATTAAAATATAATTAAATTATTAAATGTCATTAAATAAGTAAAAACATTAACAATATGAATAATAACATAATATAAATAATGGAAATTGTATTTAAATTATTATAAATTATAATAATTTTCAATCTATTATGTCTTCGAATGACTATGTAATCCCGGCATAGAAAAGGCCACCCCTTTCTTTCCTGTGAGTATCCTAAGGCTAAGGGTGGACGAAGGATGAGCAGCAGCGTCCCTCTTAAATCATCTCCAAAGCGTAACTACGGTTGCTAATCCGCTTGCCAAGTGTGGTAACTACTGGAAAAACCCCTCAAAGGGAAGGCTTATGTTCAACAGTACACAGTTAAAAACTGATATGTCTATGAATCATTTTGGATGTGTTTTATCATAATTAAAGTCGCTGTTTTCTGCGTAGCCAAATGTATTACTTGTTTGTAAAATTCGTAGTTTTTTTTTATTCAACTTAGAATGGCTGACGATCGAACAAGCTGACGGCCCACCTGAGGAAACCGTTACCTATAGATATAAGCAGTACCATGGACATAACAGAGTATACTCTTTCGCTCATAATTCCCCCCATGCGTTGCCATTCCTGAGGACTCAGGTGTTATTCCTCTGTACCCTGTAAATTCACTGCCATATATCTTCAAACCAAGTTATATAGGAACAAAGTGCAAAACAATATACAAATGCATTTTTCATTTAATCATTTTATTGAGTAACTGTGTAGTAAAAATTCTTAAAAACCTATGTACGTAATGGCACTAATTAATAGGTAGTTTTGTCGTATTTGCAATTTTACAAATCATCAAATATCTATTCCAATTCTAATTCCTGATCTTATTTTAAATATTCAAATTTAGAACATCGTTTGAAAATTTTAAAAATAGAATCAGGAAATAGAATAAAATAGACAAATTTCATGCCCAAGAAGCATCGAGACCATCAAACAATTAAATTCAAAAACACATGGATTTCAGTTCGAAGCAAACATTTGTTAGTTGTTATAAGACTGATCCACTCAATGGTTTATCAATTATTTACGCGTTTGAATTTTTTATAAAAATTCTAGTTCTGGTACTTATATTTTCATACCTTATTATTGATGGACTTTTTTTTATACAACTTAGAATGGCAAACAAGCTGACAGCCCACCTGATGGAAAATGGTAACCGTCGCCTATAGATATGAGCAGTACCATGGACAAAGTATACTGTTTCGCCCATGGTACCCCTCATGCGTTGCCATTCCAGAGGACTCGGATGTTATTCCTCTGTACCCAGTAAATTTACGCTATATCGTACCCTCCAAACCGAAACACAGCCATGCAAACACAACTGCTTCACGGTTGAAACACGAATAGGACAGAGGTAACCAAGCAATCGACTTTTGTACAAAGTCTCCCTCTGGTAAAACCAGACAAGCGACCAGTCGTAAAAAAAAATCTTGTGTACAAAATCATATTACGCCGATCCCAAATAACTGAGAGAAGTGCAGAATGATGATGATTCCATCATCACAATTTTAAATTGCATTGTCTTTTGAAGAATCTATGATTCAGTGTCGAACGATTTGTTTGACCGTCTCGAATTCCGTTTGTGTCTTGTAAGGGCCTTCAACATGCGTGGCTTAATATCGGTACCCGGTGGATCTGAAACCGGGAGTGTAATATTGCCTGTTGGGTTGAAACTGAGCTCTTGCGACCACTACATCAGAATCGCCATATTTGCCGTCGTGATAGCTGCCTGTTAAAGGAAAAAAAATTTTGTTAGTTTATTTATTTATTTTAAAATTACATCTGGAATTAAAACCATAATAACTTCTATATTTATTTTATCTTACAAATTCTGCAGCTTTTTAATGCACAAAAATTCCATTTATTTGTTAAATAATTAAATATATGGTAGATACGTCAAAATACATTGTGTGCGTAAGTGTACAGGACATATAAAAAAAAACGTAACAAAAGGTTTTTGAGGTTCGATGCTTTGTCTTTATAATCTAAGGCTGGACCTTGTTTTTACCTTGTTATTAGTACTTTAATAAAAAAATATACAATCTAAAATCGATCTGTATTGACATAATCAATTAAAAAAAAAATCTTTTAACAAAATATTAATTTTAATATGTAATAACACCTGGCTTACTTCAGTTATTCTTAGTGACAATTATAAATTGGTTGCAAAAAAATTCCAAAAAATTCTTAGGTATGTTATTGCATAATTTAATGGCCATTCTCAAAAGAGACCAATTATTTTTATCTAAATGATACTTAAATATATTTAGGATGTCTCTTAAAAATAAAGGAACAATTTATTGATAATTATTGACACCTGGACACGATTTAAAAGCAATTAGTTTTTTATTGGGTTTGATTTACCATTTCCAATGATATTCCATTTAGTATAAATGCGATCAAATCCACTACACTGGTCAAAGGATCAATAAATAATGAAAAAGGAATAAAAAAAACATAAGTAACTTTTATTTTTTTATTCTACGGTGGATGCTGTTTAAAAGTATCGACCAGGTAGCTTGGAATTATGTATAAAACGAGAATTTTTTTTTTTAATCCTTTAAAGAATACAATAATATTGTTTAATTTGTTTAAGTTTGTGAGTTTAACGTGGACAAAATAGTTTTTTTTTTTATGTTTGTATATTTATCGATTAATTGTTTGTATCTGCTACAATCAACTTATTTGACATTCTAAATTTCATAAAAAGTGTTAGCGCTTCAAATAAAAACGACCGAACTGATTTTTTTTTATCTTTTTTATACCACTGAAGTGGCAAACAAGCATACGGCCCACCTGATGGTAAATGGTTACCGTAGCCTATAAACACCTGCAATAGCAGAGGTATTACGCGTGCGTTGCCGACTTATTAAGCTAAGACTATCAATGGGGTAAGCTAAATATAAAATGTTAGTCCTCACCATCATCAAAGATCCCGTTGGCTTCATCCCGCTGGTTCTCCTGTAGAGCCTTCGCTATAGCCTCAGGTAATGGTGGAGGAGTAGGCAGGTGGGCGCCTTCGGCTTGGAAACCGTTGGCGTCAGCAGTGTACCTCACACTGTAGACCTGGCCATCATCACCGGTGTACGAGTAACTGCCCTGGGCTTGGATGCCGTTCGCTTCATGGCCCGTTTCCTCAGCTTGGATACCTGGAAATTTAATAATTGTAGAATTTTAGACACGTACAAATTAAAATATATCATAGTTATACATCGGAAGAAAAAGGAATAATAAAGATTGTAATGAACTAGTAGGTATGAACACGATGGCGCTACGTCTGCTCAATGAGGTACTTGGGAATTCACAACTGGACTTATGGTATTTCACTGTTATGCTACAGAGTTTCGCAGGGCTGTAACGATTTACTCAGAATTACATTTTTAATGTTTATTTTTATAATTTAATTACAATTTGTTTGCCATTAATTAGTTTTTTTTATTTATTCATTAGTATCTACATATATGTGTACATTGCGGACTTAATGCTGAAAGCATCCTCTCCCAGTCAACCATAGGGACGTGTCAGAATACTCGAATGCGGTACTAGTAATTTATAATAATAGTAATAATTAATGTGTTATTTGTATTATTATTATAATGTTCTATTTTTGGTTTTTGGTATCTGTAAAGCTCAGCAAAAATATGTAATTCTATATAACTCTTCATATTATATATAACACTACTCGCTTCAACTTTTTATTTCTAGTGAGAGGTGCTTCACACAAAAGAACATTTTAAGTTATAGTTAACAACAGTATTACGGTATTTTTTTTTTTCAGAATTCTACCGCAGCGCCACCTGCTGGGCACAATTATGAATCTAAATTATCCTATATAGGGATCACAACAGTGCGTTTTTAAAAGTCGTGCGAATTACCATATAGTAGGTTAACAGGACTACTTGGTTAATGTAACTGTATATCTGTCTAAAGAATAAACAACGAAATATCGTTTTGTAAATATATATATATATATATGAAAAATATCTAATCTATTTTTTTATAAAACTTATAATGGCAAACAAGTTGACGGCCCACCTGATGGAAAGTGGTAACCGTCGCCCATAGATATGAGCAGTACCATGGACATAACAGAGTATACTATTTCGCCCATGATACCCCCATGCGTTGCCTTTCCTGAGAACTCAGGTATATTTCAAAATAAATTATAATAAACGTTCAGAAGTACGATAATTAATTGCAGTAAGTCTCAATACTAGGAATGTAATCAATATAAAACTAAGCTATGACAATGTTGCATCGAAATTCAATGAATTAGATAAAATATCTTATGTTCTAAATAACTGCTAATAAGCCAATTTGCTACTGAACTGACCGTATTATAATTGAAACAATTAAGATTACATCCATCGAAATATGTGGATAATAACGTCAATTGATAATACCGAAGTGTTCCAAATTCATAGAACTTTATTCTAGAAAAATGAAGTTTTTAATTGAATCATGTATTATTTATTGAACAACTATGTAACTAATTAAAGAATTCTTGTTAACTTGTATTAAGACCGTACAATCTATACAACATGGCCGTGTGATTCAGTCATAGAATAGGCCACACCTTCTTTTCCCATGGATGTCATAAAAGGCGACTAAAGGAAGGCGAGAGATGATCAGCAGCGTCCCTCTTAAAACATCTTCGAAGTCTAACTGCGTTTGCTAAATCCGCCTGCAAAGCGTGGCATCTACTGGCAAATCTCTCCAAGGGGTAGGCTAATGTTCAGCAGTGGACAGTTAAAGGCTGATATGATGGATCTGTGCAACATAGTATTCTATTAATACGAGATTAATTAGGTGAAAATGATATTTTAATGGTATGGCCTGCCCTAACGGGATACGCTGGCGGAGCACCAGTGAAGGGTGATAGATGAGAATGAAAACAGGCCAGTTAGCCTATCATGATGAATTCATCAGGAATTAACCATGATAGTTTCTAGGCAGAACCGCGAGGAGGTCGACCTGGTTGGGTATATTGTTAGCAATGGGATTCTCAGTCTCCATTACTAACAATCCCTTTCCCCTCATTGGGTTATTACCTTTTTGCATCACTGTGATACATTTATTACATTTTTATATGTTATGTTATGTAATTTTTTTTTGTATATATCGCAATTTTGTTAAACACTTTTTATTTACACTCAGAGGAATTGTTCAATATGATGCCCACGGCCACTTTCAACCATAGTACAGCTCGCCATCGACAGGGAGTTCACCCTCTAACCCTAGAGCATAAATGGTCGCGTGCAACGCGGTTTCAGAGATGTTTTCTCCCACGAACGCTCAGGTTATGGAATGAGCTCCTTGTCGAGTTTTTTCCAAGAGAATACAGCATGGGATTTTTTAAAAGGGGAGTAAAGAGGTTTCTTCAGGGTCGGTAACGCACGTAATACCCCTAGTAGTGCTAGCGTTCATAGCCTACGGTAACCGCTCACCATTAGACGGGCCGTATGTTTGTTTGCCACCTCAGTGGTATATAAAAAAATCTATTAGTATTGTCAAATGTTTCTGTGTATCTCTTGATGCAAAATAAAGAGTTTATCTATCTTTCTTATTTACTCTGACAGCGTAAACCAAAATCGCAATGCGGTTAATATTCCATTAAAAAAAAAAACAGTACGTACCATTCTCAGTCTCGAACGCGTAATGGAATCCCCGCTCGTTGACATCTGAGACGGATCTTAGTATAGCGGCGCTCCTTTCCAGTCCAGCTCGGGGTCTATAAGACTCCTGGTAGTACGTGGGGGCTGTCCTGAACTGTGGGGGCAGGTAGGCGGGCAGGGCACCGGCGGCGCACGCCCCAATTATAGATGCAAGAATGACCTGTAAGTTTAAAATGTTTACATTTATTACTCAATCGTGTAACTTAATTAAAATGTTAATTCTTACATGATTTTTAAGCAAAACGTGTTATTTTGGTGTAAAAAAAAACTAAACTACTGAATTGATTTTAATATTTAAAATACAAAATAATTTTTCAAAAAGGTTTCCAACTGATGAAGTTATAAAGTAAAAAAAAAAACAAAGAAAAAATACAACCGAATTGTGAACCTCGTTTTTTTGTAGTCGGTTGAAAAGTATGTTTGTTTGTTTGTTACATACTAGCGCGATCCAATAATGTTATGAAATTTAATTGTATTAGTCATACCATTTAGTATTTGGTATTGAGATATACATCCTTCTTTACCATTCAATTATTAATATTTTTAAATATGAATGTGAGTTTGTTTGTCACTTTACAGAGCCTTGGCAGCTTAACCAATCACTATGAAACTTGGTACACACAAGGTTTGGTTATATGAGATGGAAAAGAATAAAGGCCACTTTTTATACCGATCGATAAAATACATCTTGGTCACGCGGACAAAGTCGCTGGTAAAAGCTAATTATTTTATAAAATTTATTGTAATCGCATATTATTTCACCCCCCCCCCCTCCTGTAATAACCCATTATGGTCCAAAATAAAATAAATATTTTCCAATAATGAAACTATTAGATATAGAACTCTCCATTTAAGAAAGTAAATAAATATTTCAAGATACAATTTACATTGATACAACAATTAGTTTAATATTTTGTATAAAGTTTTAAATAATTAATTTAATTAAATAAAAATCTGTAATTAAATAAATATTACACAAACAATCATTAATAAAAACAAACAAAATAAATATTTAATTAAAAATTCGGAATGTCTTTATATTAAATGTTATTTCCACTATTTTAAAAATTGACTTCGAAAATTGAATAATTGATGTAACATTTGTTAAGAATTACACAATACGTTATGAAACAATTGTATTTATGGAGAATGAAAGAAACCAAAATCACCGAATAATGGAATTACAAAATTCAAAGATCACGTCGATAACGACATCTGTCGGTGACAATTACATGACGAATAACAATGCGACGGTGACAAAACGTGACGGTGACTCCGAAAATCGTGATCGTAAATAAATAATCGAGTTCTAATTTCAATTTGAGTAACGAACCAATTTCATGGTGTTCACGCTTCGGGGATCGATCGAGGAATGTTGCTTCGGGTGCCCCGTTCTGTTTATATAGGTGCTTCAATTCGGTCTTCAGTGTCAAGGTCACGTAGTAGGATGTCAGGTTGCAATAAGCTCTACCACTTATAATTGGAACTTGGGCCTTTAATTGGTTGCGATCAAAATAGGAAATGCTTTGGTGATGTTCAGTAAAATAAATCACTCGGAGGGAATTTTTTATTTATTTTAGAATAAATAACTATATATTTAAATGATATCGCATATAATACAGGGGTTTAAATCCAGCTGTTCTAATTTTTTTTAATTAAACTAAAAATAAAAGAAAAATATTGATAGATACATATTCAAACACTTTATTTGAGTTATTTGTGACACATGTTAATTAACATAATTTTTACTAACAAATAAATGAGTTACATAGTTAAAAAGAAAAAAACAATAGCTTATTGATAGTTTTTAACAAAATACTTATTTTCACTGATAAGTGGTTAAATTAGGTTACACGAACCCTGGCAATTAATCTAGAGTGTCACTATACATGTAAACTACAAGCTCCATTGCTAACAATAATATATCAGGTCGACCTCCACGCGGTTCCCCCTAAAAACTGTAATGGTTAATTCTTGTCGAATTCTTCACGATAGGCGGATTGACCTTCCTCTATCCTCATCTATCATCGATCACTGGTGCCCCGTCAGCGTATACCGATAGGCGCGGTTCATCCATTTTCACACATTAAATAAAATAAGATATATTAAAAAATAATTAATGATATTCGCCATTAAAAAATTGCATAATAATTGTGTATAATTTTGTTGTATGAGACATAGAATAGCAAATAATCTGATGACCCACCTGATGGAAATTGTTAACTGTCGCCTGTAGACATGAGCAGTACCATTGTTATTTATTTATTTATTTATAAAAGACACACCAACAATATGCTCACAATAATTAAGTAGACAATATACAATATTATTAGTAAGTAAAAGAGAAAAACTACTATTACAAAATGCTTAAATCTAAGTTTGAACAAAAAAAATCTTACTCCTCACTACCAAGCTTAAGGCTATATGAACATATCAATTAAAGGCGTATACAGCTCTCACAGATAAGCGTCAATGTACACTAACTAACAATTATACAATTAGAAAAGACCTAACTACTAATCCATATTATTAATAAGCCTAGTATACTGCACTAAAGAATTACCAAAGATGTCGATATCATGGTCAACGTTTACGGCTTTATTATAGGATGATAACATTCTGTTGAGGGGAGAATTGGATCCTAAGTTAGTACGACAAGCGTATGTTGAAAATGTGTTAACTATTTTAGCAGTTCTAATATTGAAATTACGTGGTACTATCAAGCGTATATCCTTAACAACGTCAGGTATCAAAATAAGGCCATTTAAAATCTTGAACAACATTATAAGATCTATAATCTTTCTACGCTGACTCAGTGACTTCATCCTGAAGAATTCCAGACGATCAGTATAAGATGCAGTTATTGGACATAATTTATCTTTATAAGCCAAGTAACGTGTGAAACTTCTTTGCACTTTCTCAATACGATCGATATGACATTGATATTGGGGATTCCATATCAGAGAAGCATATTCAAGTGTACTTCGGACGTATGCGTTATAGAGTATTTTTAATGGCCTAACACCTCTAAATTCTTTACAAGTTCGTTTAAGAAATCCGAGCATTTTATTGGCTTTCTTAACTATATTATCAATATGTCCATTAAGTGATAGTTTTGAATCCAGTATCACTCCCAAGTCTCTTACATTAGCCACCTCCTCAATGCACTCATTCAATAATTTATATTTTGTGGATATTATATTAACATTTCGAGTAAATTTTATATGGTAACATTTAGAAAAATTTAGAACCATCCTATTAGCATCACACCACTCTTGTACCGATTGAAGGTCTTGTTGTAAAAGATCAGAGTCCTCTGACACTGATATGGACTTATATAATTTAAGATCATCGGCGAAAAGGGAGAATTTACTATATTTTATAACCTCGACGATGTCATTTACAAAGACCAGGAACAAAATCGGACCCAAATGTGATCCTTGGGGTACTCCTGATACGGATTTGTAAGGAAGAAATGTAAAACCTTTGACTACGACTCTCAACTCTCTACTGTCTAAGTAGGACTCAAACCAACGAAGTAAAAATCCATGCACACCACACATTGATAGTTTACGTACCAAAATAACATGATTAACCATATCAAATGCCTTACTAAAATCGGTGTATAGTATCTACTTGCTTTTTAGAATCTATTTCTTTGCATATATCATTCATATAGGTTACTAAATTGCTTATTGTTGATTTTCTATTACAAAAACCATGCTGATTAAACGAAATTATTACTTGTAGATGACGTGTTAAAGCAGGATAAATTAAATATTCAAAAACTTTAGAAAATGCAGACAGAATTGAGATTGGACGATAATTTTTTTATATCAGAGGGATTGCCTTTTTTAAGGATTGGAATTACGTTTGCAACCTTCCACTGTTTTGGATACCTACTATTATCACTTAATATACTGTTATGCCCATGGTACCTTTTATGTGTTGCCATTCCAAAGACTATAACATTATATCGCCGTACCCTGTAATCTAACTGTCATATAATAACGTATACCCTGTCAGGTCGACCTCTTCGTCTCCCCTGGAAACCGTCGTGCTGAATTTCAGGCATATTCATCACGATGGGCTAACTAACTTGCCTTATCATCATCCCTCACTGATTCACCGCCAGCGTATACCGTTATCAAGCGGGGTTACCAGCTCATTAACATCCATTAAAAAAACCACCAAATTTCAGAATTATTCGTTGACCGTTTAGGCACTTATTAAAAGATAATTACGAGTAACAAACAAACTGTTAAGGAAATTATTTTCGATCCACATTCCTTTATCAAAAATGTTTATTTAACAATTTTAATGGTAAATTACTTCCTTAAAAAGGCGCAAAATTATATGATTTCTTGTTTTTATTTTATGCAACTTAGAATGGCAAACAAGCTGACGGCCCACCTGATGGGGAGTGGTAACCGTCGCCTATTGACATGAGCAGTACAACAGTATAATAGAGTATACTGTTTTGCCCATGATACCCCCCACGCGTTGCCATTCCTGAGGACTCAGGTGTTATACCTCTGTACCCTGTAAATTCACATGCCACCCTTCAACCAGAAACACAGCAATGCAAACACAACTACTTCATGCTAGAAACACGAATGGTACAGAGGTGCCCAAGCAAACGACTGTACAAAGTCTCCCTCTGGTAAAATAATTACTGAATAATTCCAGTTTAACCAAGTTTATTGTTTACATAGTAGGTTTCAATCTTGTCACATTTAATAGCCGCAACACCAATTTATTAGATCAAAGATATTATGTTCCCTCAGTATAAGTAATATAATACCTTTTAAGCTAGTTTTTGTTTTTTTTTTTAAATAATATTATGTACTAAATATTTATACGAAGATCGAAATAGATTACTTTGGTAATTAGTATCATAATTGCTAAGAAATTCACATTTGAAATTATTGGGTCGTCATTATTAACAGTACCTTACGAATATAATAAAATCGTAAGTAGATTACGTCTGTACATGGAAGACAATTAAGAAATATTCAAATGAGAAGTCTTAATAAGACATGAAGGGTATCATGGTTGACATGTCCAAGGTACTGTTCATGTCTATAGGCGACGATTACCACTTTTCACCAGGTGGACTGTCAGTTTGTTTGCAACATTAAGTTGTATAAAGGAAACAAATGCCAAAACAATTTTAGACATTTTGTCTGTCTGCCTATCTGTCTGTATCTGTATATTTGTTCCGGAATCATACAAAAAATACTACATCAAATTGTAAGAGGTTTTCGCAATTGTATTTCTGAAAGTTTAACTTAAAAACTGGCGTTTTTATTACCCGTCTAGAAGTTCTCAGTTTTATTGTTCCTACTTCTAAAAAATAGCGCTCAAATAGCGCGTACAAAATAGCGCTCAAATGGCAAAATCATATTTATTTATTTATTAAACTTTAATACACCTAGATAGTGTAAATGGCGGACTTAACACCATATGGCGTTATCTACCAGTCGATCGTAGATAGGAATAACAGAAAATTTAATTGACGGTGCAACGTAAGGAATAATATTAAATTAAAACAAAAATTCAAAAATAACATACATGCAATACTTATATTACCTACATTATGCATAATAAATTTAATATATCTATATAATATTATATTTAATGATTTATCGCACACGCACACGTATACACACACATTATTATTATTTATATTTTTAAGTTAACATGTAGGCTACTGTTTTTAAATTTTTATTTTTTTATTTTATTTATTGTAGTTTATAGTTACTATTTAGTATTGTAGTTGATTAGTTGCTAGATACAAACGATTGTCTTCGTTGATGTAACAACTACTATACGTTTTAATTGTCCATTTTGGAATCCTGCAATGAGGAGGAGGGCGTTGATATTCGCGACACAGTTTTATACTTCTGCGGATATCATCGTTTTTCAATAATATTGTAACCAATGTTTTTGTTCCAAATAAATTATTATTATTATTATTATTATCTACTATTTATTATTTCTTTATACAACTTCGAATGGCAAACAAGCCGATGGCCCACCTGATGGAAAGTGGCAATCGTCGCCAAAAGATATGAGCAGTACCATATACATAACAGAGTATACTGTTACGCCCATGATACCCCCCATGCGTTGCCATTCCTGAGGACTACTCGTCGGCGGGGCATCATTTTAAAGTTATTTCCATTGCAATATGTGTGAGCCAACAATATATAAATTTACTAGCGATCCGCCCCGGCTTCGCACGGGGGAAATGCTAAAAAATGTGTTTATTTATGACATTACATTAAAACCTCTAAAATTTTCATTGTTTCTCTATTATATTATACATATATTATACATGTAAACCTTCCTCTTGAATGACTCTATCTATTAAAAAAAACTGCATCAAAATCTGTAAC